TTCTCTTCTCTTCTCTTCTCTTCTCTTCTCTTCTCTTCTCTTCTCTTCTCTTCTCTTCTCTTCTCCTCTCCTCTCCTCTCCTCTCCTCTCCTCTCCTCTCCTCTCCTCTCTTTCCACTCCACTCCACTCCACTCCATTCCGATTTTCTATTTTCTATTCCTATTTGCAATTCAATTCAATTCCTATTCCCTATTCCACTCCACTCCACTCCAATCTAATTCTCTTCTCTTCTAATTCTATTCTGTATCTAACGAAAGCACTTTTTAAAAAAGCCTTAATGGACACCCCAAGCATTGACATCTGTGATGTTGGGTTTCTTCTTTCTTCAAAGATCAGAAAATGCTAATTGTTTAATTTGAAGTTTAATTATTGTAATTTTTTTAAATGTTTATACTGTGGGCATTATTGACAAAAAGAAGTTGTGATTTTTGTGCCTTTGGGAAATAAATTCTTGATTTCTTAAATATGCAATATGGTGGTTTTTTTCCCAGACACAGGTATTCCTCGAGTTATGACTGCTCTCTTAGCGACCGTTCAAAGTTATTGAGGGGCCCTCCCCAAAAAGTACCGATGACCCAGATTCAAAGTTTCAGTGCCTGCCCCCCCCACCTGGGCTCGCGGGGTCCCATTTCCCCCCCCTTCCCCCGCCTGAACTGGCCTGCCTCTGGGGCTGTTTGCATAGCGTGGCCGTGACCTTGTCCAAAGGTCGCAAAAGGGGACCACGTGACTTGTCCCCCCCCCCCCGGGATACCTCAACGGTCATAAAATGAGTCGGTTGCCAAGCATCCGAATTTTGATCAGGTGACCCTCGGAATGCTGGAACAGTCGTAAGTGTGAAAAACGGTCCTAAGTCACTTTTTTCTGTGCTGTTATAACATCGAACAGTCCCCAAATCTGACATAGCATCTCCGCCACTTTAAAATCCTTGGGTTTTTCAGCTGTTTGGACTCTGTGTAGAGGAAGATAGAATAGAATAGAATAGAATAGAATAGAATAGAATAGAATAGAATAGAATAGAAT